TTGAGGGAATCGATGACAAATTTGTCTGAAATTAAATAATGGAGAAAACCTTCAGGAGTCTGAAGTGAAGGAAAGCAGTTAACATGATTGGCGTCTTGCAGTCATTTCGTGCTGGTATTTGGGTTTTTCGGCATTTCGTTATGTTACTGTTGGCGTACATGTGGCACATATTCGTTTAGATGGAAATCGAAAATCTCTAGTCGAGATCGATGGTGCTTGTTACCAATGAGCGGTTTAATTTTATGTTGATCCAGTCATGGTGAAGTTTTGATGATCACCACGCCGGATTGTTAGAGCGCTGTGATCTTTTTAAATCCGTTCGTTTGTTGTTTGCTGTTGTGTTTGTTTAGTTATTTGTATTTTTGATTTGCTAAGTAAAAAGAAGGATCTGTGTGCGTGCGAGTGTGAGTGGTGATGTGAGTAAGATCGGTATGGATGTGGGTGAAGATGTACGTAGTGTCGGTGTGGGTATGGATGAAAACGTGCAGAAGGTTAGCATGGGTGAGGAGAAATATATGCATAATATTGGTGTTGGTGTGGGTGAATATGTGCTTTGAATCAGTGTGAGTGTGTTTGGATAGGTTCATAAGATCGGTGTGAGTGAGGATAGGGATATGCATAACATTCGTATGGATGTGGATAAGATTTGTATGAGTGTGATTGAGGATGTGGGAAAGATTAGTATGGATGTGAGTGAAGATGCGAATAAGATTTGTCTGAGTGAGGATGAAGATGTGGATAGTATTGGTATGTGTGAAGGTGAAGATGTGCGTTAGATCCGTATGGATGAGGATGATGATGTGCGTAAGTTGAATGCGGATGTAAGGGTGAAGATATGGCTAGATTTAGTATGTGTGAGAGTGTAGATGTGGCTAGCATTAGCGAGGGTTAGCGTAAAGATGTGACTAGAATTTGCGTAGTTGCGCTGGAGTGTATGAATAGCATCAGTGTTGGTGTATGTGCGAGTATAGCGAGAATTCTGGTTGGTGTAAAGGTCAAGATGTGGCTAGAATCGATGTGGATGAGATTGAGTTAATAGTAGAATATATCAGAACGAACGAGAAAGTGTAATGATATGAATCGTAAAAGTATTATGTAACGGATGCTGTAGTATGAGTGGTAGTTTGAGAATATCTCACTCGGATTTGGACGTATATGGTTGCACTTGTTTTATCAAAAGATATAACCGGTGGGAGCCTCTACAGAGTCGTATGAAATTAGTTCTTCTCACGAAAGATAATTGGCTTACGACATAGTCAACGATGTGGTGCTTCAAAATGAACTATTTTCAACTACATTTTTTGATAAAACGAATCATTTAACTTCTTCTATATGAACAGATACAGAACACTTTTCTAACACAGTTTTGTTGTGTGTTTTTTAGGATACTCTTTCGAACGACGCTCAAACGCAGATATTTGAGTGCAATGGAGGGTTTCTAATACACGATATGTTTAAGAGATGAGTTAATAGTATATAGTTTTATCATTCTACTCGTATCGAAATGATAGAGAAAACCTTTTTTTTTAACTTGATGATAAATCTTAATGTATACCAATTTTGCATTTAGCTGAATAAAATCAAAATCAAAATCAAAAAGGATGTTAATAAAAGATTTTCAAAACGAGGATAGAGAAGAACAAAGAACAGACTTTTTCCGTACAAATCTATGGTATGCCAAAATATAGTGTTCGTTCAATTAGCCGAGCATTTCATGCAATATAAACTGACTTTTGTATGTGGCAAGAGAGCGGCGCAAAATGGTAAATATAAAGAAGAGCGTTTGGAAAGTAGATCATTTTGGAGCATTATATCGTTGACTCTCTAGTAATCCCATTGTCATTCGTGAGAAGAACTCTTTTCTTACGACTTGAGGATGTGAGTGTAAATAGTATTGTATTCATCCACACCCGCATCCTCAAATAAATTAGAATTGATAAAGCGAACATGATAATAACATTTTATATTCGAATATCAAAATCGAAGGATAAGTTATAGGACAACTTGATCCAAATGCTTCAATTACAATCGAACAATTTATTTGATCTTGAACAATCCTATTTATAAGAATCAGTAAAGGAATAATTCCACATGTAAATAAAATCACATGCCAATAAATCGAACAGATCTTCTTGCTGCGAACCATTTGCAAATAATGACAAATATTTACAGATGTTAAATAGAATGACTGAAGAATATTAAAATAGAACATAAAATAAACTTCAAAATAACATGAAACACGTCATATTTTTTTGTTTTCACTGCACTATGAATACTAAATTGAACTAAAAGCAAATTGAATTTGTTGATAAAAAATTGCAATCATAATGGACAATAAAGAAATAGATAGAAGAAAATAATTTTGTAATAAAACTTTAGAACTTCGTCTAATTGTATGATTACTGAATGATACAAATATTATTTGTATTTCAGAAAACATCTTTCTTTTGCTACTAATAATTACATGTTTTATTTAAACACATCATCTTTGTTAATTAATACTATGTACGTAAAATAGTTCATATGTTTTCACACAATTAATGAAAACTCAACATGAAACTGATGATATTATAAAGAATTTGACTAAAAAATATTGTTACTTCTGAGAATAAAACAAAATGATTAATTCTAAAATTGAAATAGAATATTGAATTTCAACTAAATATATTTTTTTTTAGATAAATTTCGAATTTGTTTTTTCTCTTCAATTTTGAATTTTAAATAAAATAAAACAAATTCGACTTTTTGTTAATTTTTTTGTTTTAACAGATTATTTCATTGCATTCTTACCATTTAAATTAAAGAATAGTTTGTTCGATTTTGACAGATTTCATTCTCAGTGGACTTGAAGAAAAAAGTATAGAATTCTGTACATTTCTGTTTATTTGTTTTTTTTTGAACCAAATATAAAGAAAATCTTCCATCGTTCAAACGATTTCAGGAGATCTATCACTTACGAACATTTGAAATATTCATCATGATTTCTAGAATGAATTCATTTATAAACTCAATTAATTATATATTTCCCTCTAGGATCATATAAACCCCGTTGTCTTCTCTTTTAAAAATGAGTCTTAATAGTAGATTTTTGGAATCATAATGTATTGAAATGAAGACGATGCAATTGTTATTGATGAAAATAAAAAAAGTCAAAGAATGAAAATAACTGATCTTTTGAAATAAAATTTTTTTTTTTATTCCTCGCAGAATTTTTTCATACATAAATTTTGTTTTTATAAAAATAATTGATGAAAATTTAAAGTTGTAAAATTATTCATAAATAAGAACAGAAATGAAAATAAGTAAACGTGAGAAATCACTTCATTATTAACAACTACACTCACTCTGTTTTCAGCAATTCAACAAAATTTTAATGATTAGAAGAAAAATAAAGTTGAATGAAATGTTAAAATACAACGAAAATATAAGAAGAACAAAAAAAATGTAAACACATGACATTGTTTCATTTCTAGTTTGTATGAAAAAGTATACAGTAAACAATGATTTGTTTTCTAAAATAATCTGAGTCTATATATTATATTACAGTGTGACAGTTATATATAATTCAATGCAAAATAGAAGAGAATAAGCTTGGCATTTTCAAGGTTATTGATAAGAGATTTCTTTTTATTATTTCTTTCATACAATCAGAATTTTCTATTTCGAATAGAAAAAAAAGTTTCATGCATTGCAAAACTATTAATGTTTTTGACTATATTTTATTTTACAATGAAATTAAGTTCACATTTTATTGAACGAAAAGTAGTTGATATTTCTGGTCGATTAGGAACACTTTATATTGTATCGCAAGATAAATTGATTGATCAATATTCCGTAAAATCATATGAAATACAATCGACTACTCAACATTCTATATGTAGAATATTTTCTGGTGCACAATTTAATAATATAATCGATGTTTTAAAAGAGATAAATTTTGATGATGGACTTTTACAAAATATTCTTCTCAGTATTATTCAACCATCAGGAATTAGTTCTGCTATTGATTATACACAGTCTATTAACAAGAATACTCGTTTTTTGTACTATGCATATGTAAGTAAAGAAGAAATAAGTGAAGATATAGATGAAATTGTTACATCTTCATGTGCAACTCATATAATTATGAAAACTATTTGGGGTTTTGAAATTTTATGTATTTTATCGATTCCAAACGATCAATCTACTCATGCATTGGATAGTTTACTACGAAATATTGCTTATCGACTTGAACATAATGAGAAAGATTTCGTGCTGACTGATCGTGAAGAAGATGAAATTAGTAGTTTGACTGATATCACTATATTTGGATCAGAAACATGCATAGACAATCATAATACAACACTATTAACCGTTTTTAATAGAATAAAAAATTGGCAAACAAATGAAAATTTTCATCAACCGCTACAATACACAATATGTTGTCTAGAAGCACTTTATAATAATGATCATCAGCCAGAATTATGTGATTCATCTAATCTAATCAATGATCAAACTTTAAATATTGAATCTATGATTATGGACATCGATATTTGGATAAAACATCTAGTAGAAATATTTAAAAAAATTCCTAAGAATTTCTCAAGTCGTATACTTAATAAACGATCAAATGATTTTCAAGAACAATTTTGTAATCTATTGACTATATACGGAGAATTTCGAAGTGACCTACGAAAATTACTTATTGGTATTCGTCGAAATTATTATGAATCGATAGAAATTGATAATGTTATCTCCGATGAATACTATTCATTATTGCAAATAAATAAAATAAAGAAATTTTTTCATAAAGTAAATCGATGGCTAACAAAAGCATTATTATTTGAACAATTAAATAATAATCAAATTAGATATATTGATATATCAACTATTCGTGTTGGAGGTCGTAAATTGACGACAATTGAAGATATTGAAGCTATTATAAAACGTATTCTTATCAAAGAAAATTACTGTGACGTAACGGTGTGGTATTCAGATCATCGATTACAAAGTGAAGAACCAGATATATGGAAGTTCTTGTACCAGAAATTAACTGCGGAAAGACAACAAACGAATCATCGTGTGATAATAGTGTATGCTGATTTTACTGACTGTCACTATAAGTTAAAAGACAACACACTTCTAAGACTATCAATGCGATTGCCAGATAATGTTTAAGGATAAAGACGATTGTAGACATAACTAGGCGATATTTATTCTACATCAGCGTCTACATCCACAAAAAAAATCGTATTATAAAACTTTTGATTAAATATCTTAATATAAAATCTTAAATATATTTCCAAACGAGATACTTCTATGAATACCCTCAGAGCTTGTATTATCGAAGAGATATAATAATCAGATTTAATTTTGATTTTCAAGAAAACAAAATTGAGAATGAATAAATACAAGATAAAGTTAATGTTCATTTTTTTATATTATGAATATTTTTTCTTTCGAGTAATATTATTCTATTATGGATGATTAGTATGTGTTTGTGTTTTTTGAGGGTGTGGATGGATATGATTGTGAATATGAGAGGAGTACAACACTCACTCACGCCCACTCAGATCCACAGCGACACCCACATCCCACCCTATGAACACCCTTAAAATCAAGATTCGTCACCATACCAACAATCAGAATATCCACCGCAAACAATTTTGCCTCTTTCAAGTATGAGCAGGATTGTATAAATAAAATCCAAAAATTTTGTTCTTTTCAGAGACAGTTTACTTCGACTGTGATAAGCAATGATGAAGCTTTTACAATATTAACCAATGTGATAATGAACATTAGTAATTTAAAACTCAATCAGCTAACTGTAATAAATTTCTTTGTTTGTTCTTTTTGCACTAGTTACCCATTTTAAATGTGAGAAATGCATTCGAAGTAATTTTAAATTCTCGCCTTCTTTTTATTCTTTATACGTAATCTTAGTCTTATATGAAGAAAATTGAGAGAATAAAATACTGTTATCCACATCAAAACTCTCAAATATAATAATTGTGAGAAACTAGTGCATCGGCTAAAATTGTCAATTGATCTTGAGTAAATCGTTCTCGATGTTCATGCCATGAGTCGTGATGTGTGCGACGAAACTCTGATAAACATTGTTTGATCGATTTCTAAGTATCAAAGCTTTCATCTACATGTATACAAATAGATTAGAAGATACATACTTGAATTAGATCAGGATCGTCCAAATGTTCACAGAGAAGCATCAATGCATCTGGAACGTGAATTGGAATATCATATGGACTGGAAAGAACGATCGCACAAAGTCCCAAAACACCTACAATGAATGTTATGTTAAACTTTTCCTGATTAAATTAATTTACTAACCAGCATGACGTTTGGTCATATTATTCGATAGGATTACTTTCTTGCCGTCGATCTTGGTGAAATAATTAGTTTTGCTCATCAAACCAAAATTGTTCTTTGATAATAAAAAAATCAATTGAAATCTTTTTTTTTCGAAAAAGAAAAGAGATTATCGTACTAGTTCTTTTGATGTTATTTGAATGTAGCCACATTGATATAAATCAGATAAAGTACTTCGTGCAGCTATTCGCACTTCGAAGTGTTCATCAGAGAGACAGTTGAGAACAAGTTCATGTACTTGTTTAACATAAGGACGTGCATTGAATAGATTACAAAAAATCATAGTTTGAACAAATTCAATAGCCGCTCGACTTGCATGCCATTTAGTGCTTACACAAATCTACGAATATGAACGAAAGAAGAACATAATACTCTATGTATTTTTTCAACTGATTTAATACTTGTGATAGTTGTTGAACGAATGTATTTAAAAACGAGAAATCTAAATAACTGATTCCAACACATAGTCGACTAGCTGTCAACAATGCTTTAAAGTTCTCATCACATCCTGCAACACTCTTGATTTCACAAAGCTAAAAAAGAACATTTTTCTAATTGGTATCTTTCTCCATTCATAAGCTATTTCTATCTACATACGAAAGGAAAAAGACGAATAATTCCATTTTTGATCGGTTGCTGAGACGAGTCAAATATATAGTAATTCGTCAGCACCACTAAATTGCATCGAAAGAAAAGACATGCCAAACTATCGAACGTTATATTTCTACCTGTTTCAATGAAATTGAAAGCTCTTTGAGTTTCGAGATCAGTCTTAAGAATCTGATCTGAAATCAGATTTATTGGTAATCCTTCACAAATGTCGATGGCTTGATTCAATCGTACAGATATAGTGTCGAGAAATACATTAATATTTGGTTGACGAGTCGATTGATTATTGAACAATGTAACATCATGACTCATTGACAATGCTAATACACTAATGAAAGAAAAATTAGTTGATCTAAAGACAAATTTCAAATTTGACACTAACTCAGCAATACGAATACGAACACTCAGCGATGAATGATCGAGTAATTCTGCAATGTGTTTATACACTTCACACCAAACAGTCGGTATACGCCAGTGAAATTTGTCTAAGTTTCGAATTAAATGCCAACGTGCAGATTCATTAAATGTATTCAATGTTGATTTTGCATTAACCAGTGTGCACAAAAAATGAATTACGCGAAACATTCGACGCGGATCTTTATTTACCTTTAAATAACAAGAAAATATTAAATGATCACAGTGATAGACACAACTTACGATGATATAAAAGAAACATTTGTTCCAGTGCAGTTTTATTTCGGAATTAAGATTATTACAAACTTCGGTAAGGAAAGGCGTGAGTTTTCCCCATAGTTCATTTAACTAAAGAAAATGATAAGTCAATAATTAAATTAAATTAATCCATTTCTCTTACCATTTGTAATGTCCAATTTTTTGAGCCACAAATCATTCCTGCTACGATTTGTGCAGCTACTCGATGACTACCTTCTTGTTTTTTTGTGATCTTTTCATGAACGAGTTCGTTCAATTGTTCCATGAAATTATCAAAAAATGCCAAACCAAAATTACGAAATAGACCCTAGCGATAATAAATTCAAGTTAGTTTATATAAAAATCATAGGACTTTTCTATTTACTTTAAACATAACAAATTGATCTTTATCAAAGTTCTTTTGTTCTTCATTCTCGTTCAAAATCATCAATTGTGTGAGTTGTCTTACAAATTGTTTATTCATAAAACGATCATATAAAATGGTTACGTCTTTGGGCATTTCATGATCTTTTGTATAACGTACTCGTTTATTCATTGGGTATTTAATTATTTTTGGCCAAGTATAATATCCATGAAAGGGTTTATCTAAAAAGCATGTTTCTTCCCATTCGATTTGTGTTTCCGGTGGTTTATAATCATTAAATGTCAACCATAGATTATCCTCTCGATCACCCGGATGACACTGATCAGTAGTAATATGAGGAAGTGGTTTACCATTGTTAGATAAAATTTCTTCGAGAGATTTTTCTACATAGATGTGTGGTGGCTTTTGCAAACGACATATTGAAATAATTCCTATGATAGCTAACTGAAAAAAATTGAAGAGAAAACTTTGATTTATTAATTAATATTTGTGAACAAACTCTTCGTATTTCTATATGATCATGAATGAGACAATCGAGAAAAGTTTCAATACAGGATAATGGCATTGGCACACGATTTTGACGAAGATTACATAATAATGATAATGTGATCTTTTGTTCTTTCCATGTCCTCAATAAGTATCAATGAGAAAATTATTTAAAGATAAAGCAATCAAACTTACAACGAAGAATCTTTTAATAATAAACTAAGTGTTTCCATTAGACGATTGTAGGAGTGAATGTTGTTTTGATTATATTCTTCAATTTGTTGCATTTCGTTTGCTTCTAATGAATGCCATAGAGTCTTAGCTGCACAAATAGATTTTTCATTGGTATTCTGAATGATGATATTCGTAATGGAATTTTGACGAATCTTTTTATGAATATTTTCGATCAATTTTTGAGTACTAGTTTTCTTCGCATGAGTCATATGTACGATCAATGGCCATAGTTTTTCCTTGATCGTCCACGAATATTTCGTTGGTAAGAAGAAAAAATTATTACCAAGCAACAAGTATAAACAGCCCTAGATAATTTTTATAAGAAGAACAATCTCGAAAGACGAAAAATATCAAACTTTGATTTGATCATGATCGGGTTCACTTGTGTTCTTGAGTAATTCGACAATACGATCAACAATCACTTGATAAGAGAAGGGAATACGATTGAATAGATAAAAAAGATCGTTTTGTGCGTTGCGACGCACCTAAAAGTTAATCAGATGAAGATTTTCAAACAAAACAAATTCAACTGACTTCACTGTATCGATTAATCGATAGTTCGAATAATCTGAATATTATCTCTTTGGTAATCTCATTTAACGGGCCACCGTGATTAATTGTTTCAAGTTCCTAAGAATAGAAAGTGAAGATCATCAATTTTTTTGTTCTTTTTAATTACCTTAATCTTCAAAGCCATTTTTTGAATGATTAAGAAACGAAGATTTTGTCCTTCACCACATAGTTTGTTTTTTAATAATTTTTCTCGAGAACTAAAATCTTTTGGCCAATCATAAATTCCGTGCTCATAAATACCATAATAATCAGAAATAAACCAATAGAACTACAAATGAAAATATACACGATACAGAATGAAACATTGACATGATCATTTCAATTTACTCCGAGAGCTTTTTGTATCGATAAAACATCATCCGAATGATTTTCCACGAGTTTGTCTAGGAACAATCCAATATCAATGAAGAGTCGTAATCGCAAATTCTCTTGGCATTCTAGAGATAAGAAATAATCAAACAAATTACAAAAATTGATTTTTCTTACTAAGTTTTGTCGAATTTTTTGAGAGTCGAATTTGATATTTGGAATAATGTGGAACCATTGATTGTACCATAAGACTTTGTACCTCTTTACTTTCAATAGGAGGCACGAAACAAAAGGCTCCTATGGCGATCGACCGAATAATAGTGAGAGATCTCAATCGTTCGTTATTGGACATTTTTAAACCTTTTTCATTCAATCGAGCCAATTCAGGATACAGAAATGTGTCGACAAATTCATAAACAAAATCAATTTCATCAATACTGGGAATGTGAAACTGATATTGAACTTTATCGATATCAACATATTGTCCCCATAGCTAAACGATTCAATTCAATGGAAAAGATTTGAAAAAAAACAAAACAACAACTAACTCGAATTGGTAAAAAATTGTCGAATGTTTCGTCACTATTGATGACCAACAGTCGGTAATCAACTGGATACGAACAGGAAAGAGATTCAAGTAAATTTACAACAGCCTTAGCCACTGCGTTATATGAATTCTTGTTAACAATTTGAATACATTGATGAAATACAGACATAATCAATTGTTTATAGATTAGTAAAACATCACCACGAGCACGAAGAAGTTCAGCAAAGACAACTAAATACCAGGTCAATTCTATATCATCTTTGTAATCAGTTAATAATGTTGAATCAGAATTATTAAATTTGTTTTTAATAGATTTGCATATTTCAGGGAGAAGATATTTCAGTGTTTTCACTGGGTTACCTTTGACAAGTGCTCGAACGAGACCACTGGCGATATCTCGTACTTTTGGTGATAAACATTGACTACCAAGAAAATTGAGTATCTTCACTCGAATTTTCTAAATTGTCATAAACATAATTAAAGAGAATATTCTAATCAGAAGCAAGTAAGATAAATACTTGAAAAATAGGACTGCTACATTGTTGAACAATATTGAATAGGATTGAAGTCACTTTTGGCTGGATGTCTATGTCCAACTTATTATCATTTGCATCCGCCGTTACTGCATCAGATATTTCGGCGGATGAAATCTCAATGATATGAAATATTCGATTGAGAAATTCATTGATAAAATCTTCAAATTTCGATGTAGATAGACATACTTCTCTTTCAATCTATTACAAAAAAATAAATATTTATTTTTTTTCAAGTTGAAAATGAACTCATACTTCAGTTAAATCAGTTCGAATATTTACTGCCGATGAACAATCAATACATGTGATTTGCATCAGCATAGTGTCAAGAAATTCTAATGTTACCGATGTTTTCTTGAAATCATTCAGATCGATACCAGGTAATACAGATATTAGTAATGGTAAAACATAAATTTGACCTCGACTATAAGATGGTGTTTGTTGTACTATTTGACGAGCAATGTGTGTTAAACAAGTAATGATGGATGTAAATCGATGTGGTTCAGTTATATTATCAATCGCCAAGAAATGTCTACAAAGATTAGATAAGTCAATAAATCAAAGAGATCAAATAAAAATACCATACTTTTCAATGATACATGGAATGATTAATTCTGGCCGAAGTATAGAAAGATAATGACAAGCTTCTACTGCTGTTTCCATGTAAGTTTGATTAAAAATAGATATAAAAACATATTCTTTGAGACAATTGACAAAATCAGTGATATTTTCTTCCGTTAGTCGATGTGATGGCAGTGGTGTAAAAGACCAAACAGGATGAGCTTTGCGTTCTCTAGAAAGTCCATTACATATAATATACATTCAATCAATATACTTACAAATGAACTCGGTCGACAAAATACGTGGTAAGTTTCAAGAGAAATTCGACTAGATTTTTCTGAAATGTGCCCATGTTTGATGGATGATAGAAACTTCGAATGCTAACTAACAGATCTGCCAAGTATTGTAGACACGAACTACGATTGCCTATCATCGCAACAATCCATTTTGCCACATGTGAGACAAAGTGTGGATATTTTTGTGGAGTTTTTTGTAGTTTACCCATTGGAAGTGAAAATCCTCTGAGTATTCGTGTGAAGATCTAATACAGATGAATTTTTATTATTCGAATTAGATGGAAAAAAAAGATTATGTACTTGTGACATCCATGGTTCCCAATCAATATAACCAATATTATGCCAAGCCACTGATGAAAAAATATCGATTAGACGCTAAATATCTGATTATTAAGAATGATACATGTGGTAAAGAGGTTAACTTACTATTCTCCACACATCTTGATTGTAAATATTTTGCCAAATGTTGAAAAACTCCGATAACCATAATCTAAAATAATACACAGGGTATCAAGAAAAAGAATGGAAAGAATGAAAACAAACTGAAATCCTTGGTAATGCAGATTCGGAGGTAAATTGACAGGAAGGAAATATGAGAACATCCTCATGACGCCAGCAAAACTTCCTCCCATAGGACACATTTGTGGACGTAATTCATCAAGAACTTCTTGCGTAGCTATTACAGAAAAGTATTGAGAACATTGACGAACACAGAGTGCAAGTGAAATGTCTATATTGCTAAATAAAACTAAAAATATTTTTCTCTCTTTTAAGAAAAAATCATACGAACCTAGGTAAAATGACTAATCCATGAATTTTATCATGATTATCATTAATCAATCGAGCCCAATAATATAATATCCTCCAATCAATTTCCAAGTCATCCCGTGTGATTAGACAAGTCTTTCTAAAAAAATCGTTCTATTATGTTGTCGATTGTATTAAAAAAGATCTCGAATACAAACCGAAGGAGACTATAAAGCATATCAAAACATAATTCAACATAGATATAATTCAAATCAGTAATGGAGAGAACAGAAAGATATAAATTGATTAATTTAAGATGTTCGATCTTGGTAAAATAAAATCCATATTTTGAAATGAATTCTTTTAAGTTGCGTGACCAAATTAAAAAGCCAGGATTCAATTCTCCTAACTGGATGGTGCATGACAAATTTTCTCGGATTTCATCGAACAAGTCCGAACCATATTGTCTGATTGATTTATTGAATGGTGAATATTCATTGTAAATATTGGGTTTTTGAAGATTATTCATTTTAATAATCAAAGTCTACAAATCAGAAAGAAATAATGTAGGTAGTATGCAGTTGCAGACGTGCTGACCTTTTTTCTCTTTATTTTCCTTTCTCGCAATAAACTCGACTATACTATAACAACCAGAGGGGTAAGCCGATGAACCGATCGGCGACGGCGGCTAGAATATATTGAAATTTTTTCACCCGTCGACGGCGGCGGCTTGACCGATCTACTTACACCCCTATATATGTATATTAACGAACAGCTAATCAAAATCAGAATTATTCAAAAAATATCATAACAGTTGAAAGTGTTTGATAAATAGTCCCGAAAAAAGAAACTTACAGATTTTTCACAGTCAGTCATCTAATAAAAGAACAGCTCAGAAATTCTATAGGAGAGGAGTCAGCTACTTACATAATTTAATGGTTATGCACATTTGTTTAAATAGCAATGCTGTTTAATTAAAAAGTATCTCTTTTGAGTAGAGCCCGTCGGGTCCGGGTCTGGATTGAAAGAAATATGTTATCAAAATAATATTTGTTTTTGAATTTCTTTAATTTTTTATTGAACGAGCCCAAAAAATTGTGGACCCGACGGCGTCTACTTTTGAGGCGCTTCGCTAGCTAACATTTTTGTTATATATCAAGAATAATAATAAACTTTTTATGCAGCCACACTGGTTGCTTATTATCTAGTTCATAATTCATTTTTAATTTATCCAAGTTTCAAACAACAGGTTTCTATTATTTGGGTTAAATAAATTATTGCTAACTTATTTAGATCTGTGCTTCAAATAATTGATTTTAGTATTAGATATTTAACAATTCAAAAATTATAGACAATAATGGTATTTATACAACTTCATCAGTGGGTACATATAAGGATAGATATGGACTCGAGTAGCATTCCACCAAAATCTTATATTTAATTACTTCGCCTGAAGAATCGACCATGCATTGCCCATAGATTTAAACATAACTTATTTAATAGAAAAATGATATTTGATTGTTTGTCAATGGAATCTTCCGATTATCTAGCAAGTGGTATAATGAGTTGAATTACATTCGGAACTTGTGTTTCATCTCAATTTCGAGAAAAAATTAATAAATTAAGAATCCTTCTCACGAGAATTATCAATAAATGATATTTCTTTTGCTATGTATTTATATTATACTTGTTAAGTAATACTTGAAAGACAGATAATCACCTTTTTTCATTGCATAATATTGGTCACTATTGACAATGAATATCGGCTTATATTCATTTGTCATACTTTGTTCATTTATCGATATTGTGAGTTCATTGTGTTTTATTCGCCGACAATAGTCTATATTATCTTCTCAGATAATATTCAGTCGAGAAAAATATGAATACAGATAGTTCAAACACACTGTTCGAACAATTCCCCGTTGAACTAATTCGTTCAATATTTGAATATCTGTCTCCACTCGATCTACTAAATGCTTTTGAAGAATTGAATAGTCGATTTTCATCAATTATTCGTGAACATCCACTTTGTTTACCTAATAATCGACGAATGAGTTTAAACGTTTATGAAGATTATATGGAATACGTTTTACCAGAATATTCGTCACAAATTATTTATCTTCATCTATCCGAACATCGTACTCCTGATGCAGTTGAATCATTTCTCTATAGAATGTATGATCAAAAATATTTATTTTCAAAATTAAAAGCGATCACCATCCGAGATATTCCTCTTCATTTGTATCATTCGTTATTGGCCAATATTCTTCCATTGTTCAACAAACTCGAATCACTTACAATTGATATGAATATCGATCATTATCATTATTCAGATTACGACAAATGGACAGATATTGACTTTGTTGTCTCAATACTCGATTCACTTCCTCGGTTATGTTCATTATACTTGAAGATTTCGCCAGCATATGACAAGAATTATTTGAATGACGTCAATATGATCTCTTCTTCTATGTCTTCTCATATGCATCTTCATACACTCTCCATTGATCAATGTTCACGTCAATTATTTGTGGAATTACTTAGCAAGAATCGTCTTCCAAAATTACGTAATTTACGAATTAAATTTCCTCAGTAAGTAACTAAGAAAAATTTCATTTTCACAAAAAATAATCGTTACTGTTATTTAGAATGATGCACAATAAACATGTTTTAACAATGCAATCTCATCAAATACCATTGAATACAAGTTGCGTACCTCAATTACGTCGTATCAAACTTGAAGTGCACAGAAATATTCAATGGATTTTAGATTATTTAAAAGAGATCTATCGTAGTGAACAACTGGAAGAATTAATCATCCACGGTTATGTGAGATTTAGTGAAGGTACGGATTTTCCAAGGGCAGAGATTGTACGGAAATGGTTAGCTATGTCGAAATTGAAACAATGCAATGTTCGATTTCATTTTTCGGTTATCTACAGAGAAAAAATTGATCAACAAAATTTAAATGATTTATTCGCTAATTATATGAAGATTTTTGGACGAAATTCGATTTATCAAAATACGTACATTCTTATTCGCTATCCGAATAATATTGAATCACTTCCAAATGAAGACGAAGAAGATGATATTGGCGCTGTTGATGAAGTAAGAAAGAAAAGCGAATTATTATTCAAAGTGAAATTGTTTTCCGTAGAAGAATCTTATTGAATCGAATGTATTTAATTTTAGTTAGAGATTGACGAATCAGATTATTTAGAAGATAAATGGATAGAAGCTGTACAAAATGTCTCTCACTGGCCGAATCTTCGCAAAATATCGATTTTGGGTGATTGTACAAAAGATAAGTAAGTCAAAAATCTTGATTTAATTGTGTAAATTCTTTCATGTGATTGTAGAGATGCTATTAATCGAAATTTTCAAATTCTACTACATGTTGCACGACGAGCAGCACGTTTCTGCGAACTTAAAATTGAGGCAACGCTTGTATTTGGTCTTGCTTTATCGTCGAATATTGAACTTTGCAAATATCTTGCTGATCATCTCGAAGTACTTCGTTTTAATGGCGAAGATCGAACAAGTTCTTTTCTTCAATTGGTTCAAATCGTTGATACAATTCACTCTCACTCATCATCTTCATCATTACCACTGAAAAAATTGACAATTTTTGTCGGTGCTGAGCCATCATCATGGCTAACAATTGAACATTTTCAAAAAGGACTTCAACTAGTCTTTAATCGTTTTCCATCACTTATTCATTTTACATTATACTGTTGTCAAAAAGAACTATATACGGATACTATTTATGATTTAAATGAATTGTTAACCGATTGGTATTCAGGAGTTAAGTGTGGCAGATCATGGAGTTGGAGGTCTCAATCAAACTCATTCGATCTTTGGCTCTAAAGCAATTACTCGTCTATCTAATAACACAAAGACATATGTTCATTCTATCAATAATAATAATCTTCTCAGTTAGTTTTCAAATAAATGTTCATATAAAATTCTCTTCCTTCAATAAAACATATCTATTAAAGATACTTTCACTTCTATTTGTTGAAGAGTGGGTGTGGATGTCACTTCTTCCTTTACAATCACACCTCAAATATATGATGGAGTACTAGCTGACGTTGCACGATAAGTCACGATCTAGACATAAGAGAAGCGATTTCAAGATATAATTACTCGATACAAATAAATAATCATTGAGCTTTTTTGTTATGAGTTAGGAGTATCGAAGGTGAAACGACATCGATTGAGGAAAATGTGGTTTGACTAATTCTGTTTACTTGATATTATACCTGTAGTATATGAATTTTTTTATCAAAGTCTAAAAGTATATTTTCTTTCTGTTACGAATATGAAAGATAGTTTCTCTATCGCAGTCATATTCAATCTTTGAATGTTGAGATTTAGTTCATAAAATCTAAAAATGATATTCAACTCAATCATTATACTAGCTAATCATTCGAACTTTGTCTTCAGTAAGAATTTTTGAGACAATCGTTCGACTTTTATTTTACGTCGAGAAAAAACCTGTGCTTTTTTTTTATAAATTGTTTGCTTCCATCGTTTCTTCTGAGCAATAATCAAATTACTTTTCTGAAGACTTTCTTCTTGTGCATATATTATATGTTATAATAATCGAAAATGCACGTAATTTCAATTTCCAACAAAAACTTTTCATAATCAGTTGTTCATCCTTTACCGAGGTATACACAAAAAAAATTACTTGATAATTTATTACGCAGTGAGAAAAAGTGCTATAGGACTGTTTTATGATAATAAACAATTGTTAGATTGATATTAAAATATTGAAAACCTGTTTCTCTTCATTTATTTATTAGATAAAATGTTCATTTGATATCTGGATTGATCATTGATATAAATAATAAAATAAACTTTCATGAGAAACCTCAATCGCAACTGATTTTAGTGAATAGATAATAGCTTGACGTAAAGACCACGGCAACTGTTGAAACTTATCAGTCAGTATTAAAAGTCTGACATCGTCAAAAAAAAATAATCAAAAATTATCCTTATATTTGTATCTTGTTGGCGGAAAAACCGCCGAAATATACTATTGGTATGTGCACTGTCATTTGTAGTAAATGAGACACGAAATGTACGTTTAAGAATATGTTCAATCAATTCGTCGTAAAAATAATCTTTTATTTCATTAACAATAAATGGATGATCTTGAATGAATGAGTTGATTTTACTTTTCAAGCTATAAAAATCATTGGTATCATTGCAAATATTCATCGATACTAAATCTCAAGTACTGGAAAATGACGTCAGAATATCATATTGACTCGAGTTTTGTAGTACGACAGCAGCTGAATGTTCATTTTCATTACTAACATCAGTATTGACTGTATTCATCATAAGATTAATTATTTGTTTTTATTTTTGGTGAGACAACATGTATGCGAGTGTTGATTTAATAATGATAAATAATTTTACTTGGAAAGTTACAATTTCTTATCTTGTTTTTTTTTGTGTGCTTGAGAAAATTTATCAAACGCTGCAAGAGAACAGAAAAACAACTGTGGGCGAGGATGTAACTGCGAGTCTGGCAAAGTTAAAGTCGTCAGGGAATTACAGTCTCAATATGTAATCCACGTCAATACCTTGAGAGTGGGCGAATGTGGGCGTGGGTGAGATTCTCACCCACACCCACATCCTCAAGATGATTATTTTTCTTTGAATTCCTCGAAATGTTATGTGTCTGCTCACACGCTCAAAACAACCTTAGCAAATATTGCAATAAGATGATGCAAGAGCAGGGTTTTTTTTCTTTCTCGTTCTGTCGCAACTTTTATTTTTCTTCTTACTGCCGATGCATGTTCTCGAATAAAAAGAAGAGTTGTTTTTCTTTTAGTTAACATTTGCATAAAAACACCAACGAAGAATGGATGTCTCCACGACATCAGCTGATGACGTGCTTAAAAAGCGTTATGCTGAGCTTGCGGAGAAAACAGCTACAGCAATAGCGAACGAAGGACCACCACCAAACATCAATGATCGACCAGCAATTCCAAACTCTCTTCCTACATTGCCACGTTATGAACCTCCTCCACCACGTCGACCTCAACGTCCACGACCTACGTGTCGTATGTTTTTTCCAACGTCGGGCCATCTGGGTTTTGATACAGTCAAATTGACTACAGAGCTACCATCGATCGAAACAGTTCGTGAAATGGTCATATATGAAACACGTCTTCGGTTGTCGGATTCAATTCAAGAAATTATGGATCAGTACTATACTGACGAGTGTGCTGTTACGTAAGTTTCACTTTTTTATTTCATTGTAATATATATTGATTGTTGAGAATTTATAGTTTCGTTCACGATCTCATTCAACAACATGTAGTAGAACATTTTGGCTATCATGATGTCAATGCACTACGCACTGCTTTATATCGTTTTCTAAATGATCCTGTTATTCAAGCCGCTTTCTATGGTAAGAAACTGTTCGAAAAGATTTGACAATATCAGAAGATATTTAGCAAAAGTCAAACTTTTGAGTTAACAATATTTTTTGTTAATTAATTTTTTTTCAGTCAAATACAACAAGATTACACAAGGCATAATTAACCAAGATCAATGTGCTCGTGATGTCGATTTGTATACAACAGATGGCCATCCGACTACTCTGTTTTCGCAAATGTCATCTGGTCAACCATTGATAATATTGGCCGGGTCAACTAGCTGACCTCCATTTCGGGCAAATGTCGAGCGAATGAAGTAAGTTCTTTATTTGTTAAAATTAAACTAGACACACTTATATGTTTATAATTGATATGTAGCGCGCTTGTTCGCTCACATGCGCCCAACGGCATTCGCCTCTTAGCAATTTATATTGCTGAGGCACATGCACGGAATGAGTGGCCTGTAGGAAAGACAATTTCATGTATTGATCAACCAGCAACGCTAGCAGAACGACTTAATAATGCACAACAATTCAAAAAGAACTTCAATTTCGAAATGTCGATGCTCGTTGACAACATGGATAACATCTTTCATACTACTTATGGTTCATGGCCATTTCGCTTCTTTGTCATTTATGATGGCAAATTAGTGTTGAAAGCAGAACCCGATAAAGAAACATTTACCTATGATATGAATGAAATCGACAACTGGATTGCTAACTTCTATCAATCACGTTCTCAAACTATTTGAAACTTTTTTTAAATGACTTAAATGAATAGTACACTTGTTGTCTTGCCCCACCTTAGTTTTCTATTTCATATGGATCTGTTCGACATTCCTCGATACATGGAGCTTTAACATGAACTAATGATAACTATGAACAAAAATCACATTTAGTGAATGTTCAAAGTTTGATAAAAATATGTTAAATTTCTAGAGGAATTCTTAGCGCGTAAAATTGTCGAATACATGCCGGCTGAAGTAGAAAACAAAGGTAGAAAAAGAATCAATTGTATATTGATTAGATAGACTGTGTTTTCTATGCTTTGCCAAAAATACAATAAAACTATACTTAACTACACTCGCACCCTCAAGATGGTGATTCTATTTCAGATTTTACGATCTTCCAATAAAATAGCAACATCATTGACATACTCAGGTGGATTACAGAGAAAAGAAAAGACGCTTCAGTTATCGCATCACTCTTTGTATTTAGTAACTGACGATGTCGTTATCCAAGTTTGAAAACTTCCAAACGAAATTCTTATGGAACTCTTCGAGAAACACATCAATGGTCTCGATATTGTGAATGCATTCGCTTTCCAACTAAATCGACGAATCGATAGATTGATTCTTCAATGCCAACGTTTCCAATTTGATTTCATCCGATGTCATAAAGATGATTTTGCTATTTGTCTCAATCTACTACCCGCCTATTCAAGTAGAATCGAAGAGTTAGGACTGTCCGAGCATAAAACACCGGGACAAATATATGCTTTCTTACATGCCTACCCTAAATTTAGTTCATTTCCACAGCTTCGTCGACTTTACTTTCATATGGATCTGAATAATTGCGATCCGACAATGATACAAATAGCTTTGGATTCGCTTGCCGAAACACCCATTGAGACACTCGCAGTGAAGATAGTTGGCATACCAGAAGAGCAATACCGCTCCTATGGTTTGAACTTAGCACAGTTCTTTCAGCTTCCAACGGTGAAAAAACTGGCTTTTGCCACTAATGTCGGATTTCCATACGATTTCTTTGATAATGTAATAAAACCTTCGAACATCGAATATTTCACTTTTGCGGATCCAGAAATTAATTTTGGTGACTTCAGTTTTCTATTACGATTGATGCCGAATCTGAAATATCTCAATATTCGTTTGACTTCTGCACAATATGGTGTTCGACGTTGGCGAGACGTCGATCAAAACAAACTGTTCCCACTCATGCCCATGATGAAGACTTGTATCGTTCATGTCGACGACAGAAAACCGATCGAGTTCGATCTTCTAGCACATCACCTGAAAGCAATGCCTGATTTACTTCAATTGGAAGTCACTGCACCTCATAAACTTTTCAATGCACAGAATTGGGAAGATCTGATCACATCATCACTGACGAAACTCGTTCATCTACGCCTCTATGCCACGAGGCATCATCAAGATCCGGAAACTGTTGTACAAATCACAGATGCATTCAAAACTCCATTTTGGGTCAAGAAGACGAACTTTGTCTTTATGCTTATGCAATTGATCGATTTGCTTGCTAAACGTCGAAAGGTAAAATGTCGAAAATACTTAGATGTCGTCATTGACCAGTATCGATGTTTGTTCTAATCATTTTTCTCGTGTTTTCTTTCGGCTTCGTCTAAAATCGTTACGTCGACTAGTTAGGGTCTGGGTGTGGGTTAAGAAACGATAAATACTCACACCCACCCATCCACCCACATCTACACCCAGACCCACACATCCACACCCACATCTACACCCATTGAAATTAAGTATTCCATTATCAACATCAAACACGATTCTTTTTTCATTCCACATTTTTTCCATTCAATATTTTTCATTTTGACTTTTTTCAATTTTGATTTTTTTTTTGATGTTCTTCCTTTCGACATTTTTTCTTTCTACATTTAGCATACATACCAATTGAACCAGCATAAGAAAGTCAGAGAGCAGAGTGAAACGATTGAGCGTTTGGGTCGAGCTAGTTTCAATATCTATGCCTACCAATTCTGGACAGGAGCCGTTAGAAGCGATAGGTTCCTGCAAAATCCGATGATTTTGACGGGAGAGTGGGCCAATCAAATTCATGAGAGGAAAGACGCTTATTTTTACTATGTTGAACATGTTGATTGTCAGAATATGGATCAGTATATGGTCGATTGGTTCAAAGGCCATGTGAACTGTTTAGAAATTAAGCATTTCGAAGGGCGACACTTTTGTAAAGGAACAGAGTTATCGATCTTTACCAATCTTCGAACTGTTCGATTACCACTAAAGGCATTGGCTGTTCTGAGCAAAGCTATATTCCAAGTTTTTCCTACTGTTCAGTATCTCGATCTTCGTGGCGAAAAAGAACTATTCCATTCTGAATGCATCGAACAAATACGAGAATTATTTCCGAATGTCGAACATCTTGTGTTCAATACTCAATCGTTAGACTGTGTTCCAAACTTAGCTTGTTGTTTGCCACGACTTCGTTCATTGACTTGTATGATGCATGATCAAGATTCCAATTGGGAGCCCGACTCAATTAGATACCATCTGAGCATGTGGTCACAAAGCCTACGACGAAAGTGTAACTTATTATTTTGTCGTGAAGAAGACTTTTTGATTATCTGGCTTGACAGGGTTTCAATCAAAAATACTCGATGGCACACCTTTCGTACACAACAAACGCCTGACGAGGAACGACAACGCTATGTTGACTTATTCGATGCCTTCAATCGTGAAAACGATAGTCAGGGCCGAACCGAGGTGCCAAGGGTAGAGGGAGCGCAGCACGAATTTTTCTTTAAATTTAGCATACACAACTTTTTTTTTCAATTTTTAAAACTTTGCGGAGATAAAAAAAGAGTTTTGCAAAGCAGGGAGAGTGTTACGCCCCATGCGCCTCTCAGTCAGTATGCCCCTGATGATAATGATCACAATGAAAATGATTACGACGATCGTCAACATCGCCAACGTCGACACTATCAACCCCATCCGAACGATCTCTTCTTTGACGAGTATGACTATGATAACTAACTAATTTAAGTATCATTAATAGATTCTTTTTTTTGTCTCTTCGAAATAAACATGATAAAGATTTTTGGTGTGGGTGGATAATAAGAATATCGATACCCAGATCCACACAAATAGTTATCGTATATCTTTACCTTTTAGTGACATATTATGATGTTATGTCAGTTATAATCCATATCATCAATTAACAGAAAATCCATCTTTTTGTAATATTTCTGCTTTCTCAATTATAAAATATCATGAGAAGAATACTATCAAACAATCCACTTATTTATTAAGGACATACTAATTCAAATTTTTGTTTTTCTGAGTACTATTAATTACTATTTTTATGAAAATACTTTATCATTATTATTCTTTTTTTTGAAACAATTCAATAGAATCAGAAAGCATAAAACATATCAAATAAAATCTTCACAATATTTAATATGCATTACTTCATCGCATTTTATGACGTCGAGAAATAAAACACATAGAATAGATGGAAGAAAAATGCATAGTTTTTATTTTTAGTTGAGAAAAGAAAAATTATTTCAGACGACTATATTTTACAAAGTTTACTCTATTAATAAGATACTTGATAAGTAGTGTTACAAACATTAACCCTTCGTGGCTGTCGTGGGGTCCACGCGGACCCATTTCACATATTTTCATTCAAAAGTACATCAAAGGCTTCTGTGTTTGACCTATCCTTTTGGATCGTCACTAGTCCTATGTCGATCTATATCACCCTTATTTCAAATCGCACATAGGTCTAATAGATAAAAAACGGCGCTATGGGTCCGCGTGGACCCCAGGACAACTTTTCTCTTTTCAACATATTTTTTCGCTGTTAAAGCTGCAATCTGTTGATTTATAGGTATTTCTAAAATAATTTCTTTGATTCGTTACTAAGTTTACTATTATGTTGATAACTTATAACGTCGTTCAAAAGTTTAAGTTTAACTTATGTTGTTTTCTTACGATCAAAACTACATTTACTGCTTGTAATTTGTTTAAAAGTTTATCTGTTTTTTGATATATTTGCATTACTTCCAAGAGAACTAACTCACGAATCTTTATACATAATGATGTCTATGTCTTTATACAAGTCGAATGGAACGCATAAAGATAAGGAGAAATTAGGTTTTTGTATTTTTCTGCAGGTGGGTCCAAGCGGACCCCACGACAGCTATGGATCACAAAAATGAGGACAGCCACGAAGGGTTAACGAAGGAATTTTTATTACTATCGGATGTATTTGTAAAGTGATAAGAGAAAAGTACTGAATCTATCGCAACAGTATTGCAAATATGTTTTGTTTTGGAAAAAAAATATTTTTCTATGATAAAATGAGATGTATGTGAGCTTCGAGAGCAATAAAGTCTTACTTTGAAGATTCATATCACTTTAAAATTCAGTAAACTCATAGAATTTAAGGAATAGAATAGAATGAAATAAGTGGATGAATGATGGCATCGATGAAGATTTGCATGAAAAGTAACACTGTCTAAATATAAATGTAACTATGAATATTGATATCTAATGTGCATAGATCTATATGTGGAGATAAATACAAAGATAGTAACTCATTCGCTCTTACCCATTCAAAATGTACGTTATGTAATTAGATTTTTCAAGCATCCTGTAAAGCAGAATGTACATATAGCTATATATTATCTCTTTCAGCAGTGCACAAACAATACTTAGTGAAAATACTTTTCAAATAAACAGGCATACAATATGGCATCATGGTCGTACATTACTCAAATGTATACACTTTATGCGTTTATTCCATTCTGCTCTATAGGTTTTTTTGGTAGTCTAATGAATACAATTATACTTTCAACTTCGCGTATGTATCGTACTCAGCCATGCACATTCTTTCTACTTATAGCAGCAATTGCACAATCAGTGCAATACTTGACTGCAGGAATATCTCGTATTTCTGCTATTGGTTTTCATACAGATTTAACTCTTCTCTCACCTGTATGGTGCAAAATGAGGCAATATCTTATTGATACTTGTTATGGTGTGGCATTTACATGCGAATGTTTAGCAACGATTGATCGTTTTTTGTTAACTTCACGAGCTGCTAATCTACGACAATTGAGCAAGATCAAATGGGCTTATTGTGTTAGTGCTGGTGTAGTTGCTTTCTGGACACTTACATGTGCACCAGATCTCATTTTCGTTTATATAAGGTTAGTAAGTTATAATTTATATTTTATTTTAATTCATAAGGAATACTTGCGATTTTCTTGAATACATATACCTGCTAGAATGATTATGTTTATAGAGTAACCATGTAAAACATATTTTTCAGTGTTTATGATAAAACATGTTAGTTTTCTATGTGAATTAATTCACAACAACTGTCAGAAATGCTTGTCGAATAATGTATTAGAGATTATGACAAAACGTAGTATATGCTTCAATATAGATAAGATACCTGGATAATCAAACTAGAAATGCATGGTGAATCCTTTCTATTCATTAAATTACTTATATTTTAAACTTAATCATCCATTAATCGGAGAGAAATATGAGAAAATTTTCTGCGAACTTATCGTTTTGACAGAGAGTATGAATAGGGAAAAGAAGAAACCATCTTGAAAGTTTCGATGCCAGTTTCCTATACCTGTATTTTTTAATATTCAGTTCGAACGTTTGTGGCAATTACAATAATATTTGGGGAACTTACTATTCTTATGTTAATTATTGGCTTTTCTATACAATAGCTCCGTTGGTTATTGTTATTGTATTCGGTACACTTGCATATCGAAATATGCGCACTGTAGCAAATACACGTCGACTACAAGGAGCTGATCGTCAACTTACTTATATGATTTTTGGACAAATAATATTAATTATTATTTCTGTTTTACCCGGTGCTATTTTTCATGCATATTCATCAGCATCAATTTCTGTGAGCAAAACGGCGGAACAAGCAAATATTGAATATTTCATTTTTAATGTTCTCAATTCTTTGGGTAATATTACATACGGAGTAAGTAAGACATTCCTTATTTTATCATTTTGTTAATTGTTTTTTATGTCTACAGAGTGCTTTCTATGTATTTTTCATTGTCTCAAAAACGTTTCGCCAACAAGTCAAATGCTGTTTTTGTTATTTTGGCAAAAATCCAAACAATGTAACGCCTGTAGATACGAACATGACTCCTGGCGTAGAAAACACTACATAACAAAAGTTATATTGAAATAAATAAACATTAGTTAGAAGCTTTTCATTACCATGCTTTTTGTATTCGTATGTTTCTTTGTGCAGAATGTTGTTTCAGTGTAAGAGTTTAAAAATAATTCCTTATTTTTTAATTATCAATACATTCAACATTGTTCACTTTAAAAACAAGAAGTTTTATTGAAACCAATGTTCACTAGAGATTTCGTAATAAACTTTTTCAAGAGATTCAAAAAAGTTTCTATAGCCAGAATTTCTTTCCTGAACATGTTCCATAAATTCAGGGAGATCTTCGTAGTGTTTAGAGTGACTGTGGATAAAGAAAACATTAGTCCTCGCCCACAACCATACCTTCATATCTACACCTTCAAGTACGTTTCAGATTGCTCAAGAAAATTCAGCTGGTCAAATAGCAAATACAATGCCATATTTTGCTTACTCAATTAGTTTATTTCTATATACATTAACCAGCAGTGTTTTTCGCTAGGAGGTTTTCAAAATGGTTCCCTGTTGTTCACCTTAGCGTCGAAATCGGATGCATATGTCTCATAATCAAAGAAATCAAATATCAGTTGTGCAGAGCAATCGTCAAAAGACGAACAATGATTCTAAAACAGTATTTTAATTCACGACGTACATGTTCATTATCTTGTAAAAGTGTGAAAACAATTTATGTATGGATGAATAAAAACGAGTTAGAGAGTGAGTGTGAAGGTTATACGTATAAATAAGAAAGAGACTTCCGTACTTACACCCTCATTTTAACCAATATGATGTTTAATCTTTTTTCTTGAATTTGTTTCAATAATCGATTTTAATTAGATTCTTAGTTATTGTTTTCACAAGAGACTCATAATCTGGGCGTACTTATTATTTTCAAAAAAAATAATGAATGAAACATAGATGTCCTTCGCGGTTCAAAATCAGTCGCTGCCGCGGTGGTATAAATAATGTAGTCCATAAAACTGTCTTTTCTATAGGTTGGACTATGCAATAGTCATATAAATGTGCAGAGAGAATAAGGCTCCTTCTAATATGAATCATGGTATGAATACAAGCTTAAACATTATAGATTTTTTTGAAAAAAGTAAAAAGAAACTTTCTAAAAAGCCAATCGCTGCCGCGCTGCACCGCGTTGAGAGAAAAACAAGCTGCCGCTGCAGCGTCGCCATGGACATCTCTGGAATGAAAATAAAAAAATCATTTTTTTTCCATTCTTATTAACAGATAAGTTAGAAAGAGCAAGAAGACGTCGGAAAAATATACGTTATGAGATTGGCAGAAAAGCAAGACTTTTTAGTTGTGGTTACTTTCCTTTTTTTTGTCAAAATTCAGTAAAACAGAACATCAAGCATACTTTGTTGTGCAATAATATTCACGTTTTTTTCTAGAATGGCTACTTCTTCTAAAGTTACTGAAATCGATATACAACCATGTGAAATTGAAAGCTGCCAACGTACCTCGGCTACACTTTGTCATCACTGCAAGAAAAATGTGTGTCGACGTCACTTCATTGAACATGCAGATCAGCTTGTACAAGAACTTAATCCATTAGCCGATAGTATTAATAAATTGCGTGAGAAAATTAACTCTTTTGGTATACAAGAGTATAAGCAGAAGGAACTTGAAAAATTAATTCGATGGCACGATGAAGCTATAAACAATATTAATGATTTATTTGAATTGAAGAAGCAAAAGCTTGATCTATTATTCCAAGATAATGAAGAGATCTTTCTACAACAAACGGCTGGTCACCTGAAAGTAATTAATAGATTGACGAACGAAACAGCAAATTTTGTCGAAGAAAGCGATGTTACATTTGAACAGTTACAGATACTAAAACAACAATTACATGTATTAGAAGATTTTGTTAAAGAAACACACAATCGTCTCGTCTACTGTGATATAAAACCATTATTGATTGATTATAACTTGGTTCTTTTACAATCTGCAACAAATAATTACATGCGAGGAGGTACACTTCTGTGCGCTGACTATCAAATGAGGTTGAATGATTTTTATGGTAATGCAAGACAAAAATGGGAAATGATCTACAAAGGAACAAAAGACAGTTTTCGTGAACAAGACTTTCATCGCTGTTCGGATAACAAGGGGCCTACAATAACTATTATACAGACAAAAAATAATAACTATCTATTTGGAGGTTATGCAGAAATACATTGGGACTGTGACGGCTACTACAAACATGATCCGGCCGCGTTTCTATTCACTTTGACAAACCCATTTGGTATACAGCCAACTAAATTTTTCAAGAATTTTAATGGTACGTTCGCTCTTTGTCATGCAAAGAATAGAGGTCCCCATTTTGGCGGAGCTATACGAGACGAAAAACACTTCTGTGACTTTCTAATATGTGACAACGCACACAAGCTCAAATACTCAACTAGCGACTTTCCCACAGCTTACATTGATACTACTGGAAAAGGTGAAACGCTTTTTGCCGGAGAAAAAAACTTTTTGGTGCAAGAGATCGAAGTTTATAAGCGCAAGGATGAGGATGAAGATAAAGCTGCGAATGAGAATGAAAGTGATAGATGAGTATGAAATTTCGAGACGCCACATGTATTTTCACCTCGGTTAAGAATTTTATTAGTTGGCTGATGATGTGTCCGTACAGAATTTTTGAAAAAATCAGTAAATGAAAACAATTTTAAAGAGCAGAATGAGTGTGAATGTAAGTGTCAGGGTGTGGATGTCGATAAGGGTGAGTGGGATTTAGATATAACAATGGTTGTGGGTGTGGTTGAGAAAGCGTGGTTGCGTGGAGATGCATGAGTGTGGATTTGGCTCTGGGTATGGATATGATTTTGGGGTTGCGTGTAAAGGTGGATGTAGGTGTGGCTAAACAAAAGATAAGTTTACTATTACACTCACACCCTCAAAATGGATATGGTGATAGAAATTTTCATCATAAAAACAATCTTTCAATTGACTTCGATGTTTCAGTGGCATGGATAGATGTAGAAGATTTTTATAAAGATACTTGTCAAGACATTATTATACTAGATATAGAAACAGACATCATTCAAATTTTTTAAACGAATGTTTGTTTTCTTGCTTATGCGATAGAAACATTAAGTACTTTGATCGAAAATTGAAAAAAATAAACATTTTGCCTATTAGTTTAACGTTTCTTCTATTTTATGCTTTGAAAATAAATAAGAAAATCTCATTTATCACATATCAATTTTAGAGTTAAAATGATAGGAATGACTTATTTTATTTCTACATTCAAGGTAAGCAATAATCGATGTATTTAATCTATTTTATTCAAAAATTTAAAGAATCTTTTCAAAGCAAACAAGAATTTATCAACAACAAAATAACAAATAATTACAGTTATGTTCACTTGAATAATATTATACAAAAGTACAGTTTATGTTTAAGTTTAATGCCATCGTTTTCAACGACATCAATGAATTTTGATTAAAATCATTGAATAATCTAATTCTGAGATCGTTTAATTTTGTCATATGATTTATAATGTAGAGAAAAACAGAAGTGTGACCAATTGCACATTGAAGTTGTTCGATATTCGAAAATACCTGACAAAACTTATTCAAGTCATTAAATTCAATAAATTGATCATCATAATATTTATTAATAATTAATATCCTAATCATTTCATTCAAATATTGACATAATTCATCATTAGTAAGAAATGATATTAAACTAGATTTTCTAATTTCTAATGATGATAATTTTCGTGCTTTTTTCAATATGTTTAATAAATCAGTTGATGATATTATATCGCCGATACGTATAATATCCAAATGTTTAAGATTAGATAAATTTACGATAACTGGAAGTGATTCGAAAAATTTCTCTTTTTGTTTTTGATCAATACGAGATTTCTTCAAATAATTTGATATTTTATATATGCTTAATGATTCAACATTTTCAAAATAATAATCATGAAAATTTTCATTTAAAATATCAATAAATAACTCTGTAACATATTTAAATATTTTTAATTTATTGATTAATGTATTACCAGATATTTTTGTTTCGGAATCTAATTCAAATTTATTATTTCGATATGGTATAGTAAAAAAAGTTGTATCAGTTGAATTAACACCACAAACAACATCCCAATGATGATCCTTAGACCAAAAATCATTTTGAAATTGATCTAAAATAATATTCTTCTGAATCGAAACAACGAATTGAAATTTGAATATCTTTAAATGATGTAATGATGATTGAATTAAATTTTGCCAACGTTTATCATCGATCATATTCACTACAAAACTATTATCTATTGTTAATATTTCTAAGTTTGGTGTTTGTTTTAATAAGAATTCGAATATATCAAAATCAACTTCTGAATAATAAACAATAAATTGTTTGAAATAAAATGCACATACTGATATATGATTTATTTCATTTCTTCTATCCCGAGCAAAATTAAATCTTTCGATATGTAAATAGTTAAGCATAGGTACATATTTAAATAATTGATATATATCATTGAAATAACATCGTTTAATTGTTAATGATGTAAGAAATATTATTTTATGGAATTTTATTTGAATTTTTGATAATAATACATTCGATAATATTTCACAAGTTTCATATTTTAGATCATTTGGATAACCATTATAAAAATTTGATAATGATAATAATATCGAATGTTTTTCTTCATTATCTGTATCTTCAAGATCAATTAATGTTAACAATTGTAATCGAGAAAAATCAGTTAATAAAAATAATGAAAAAAATTGATTACATGTTTTTGATATTTTTAATGAAATAATTTGATTTCGAAGTTGTGAATTAATTGTCAATTCATAGAATAGTTCTCGAAATAATTTTTGATTTTTTTCTGATAAATTTAACTTTAATAAAATATTTCGAATTAGTTTATTAAAACGATAATTTAATTGATCAAATGAATAAAATATATCAAATGTATTAAGATATTCCAAACATTCAATTAATATTTCATTTGGTAATTGATCAAATTTCATTTTTGTTTTAAATGTATACAAAGGAGGCCCCAAACAGACAGAGAAATGAATTAATTAACGTTAAAGTTAAATTAAGCGTTATAATTGGCGCGTTATCGCGATAGATCGTCTAAAACAGATGATTTATCTCATAACACGTCATCGTATTGGTGAATTCAGTTTGAACGTTAATTCATTTTTTTAGTCTGTTTGGGGTCGGAGAAAAATATTAAAATTTTGCTCGTTTCTAATTACGAATAATTCGTTTACTATAAATGGCACTAATATTTATTTGATCCAATCAATTTTGGATAAATCCATACTTCATTTCATGTTTCCGAAAACTGTTATTTTAGGTAAATTAATCTTATTAAAGTTTTGTCAGCAATTACATTTATCCTTGTGTCCGTCGTTTAGCAAAATAGTAGTTCTTCCGTAAAATTTACGAGTTTTTTCGCGCAAGAAAATTATTGTATAATCCTCTTTGAAAACAGCGAGGGTATGGGTATGAGTGTGAGTGCGATAAGAACAACAAACATCTGCCTACATCCACATTCATACTCTCAAATATTACTTGACGCTATTAGTATTAGCCACTATTTTTATTATTATGATCAATAAATGAAAAGATAAAAGGATATATTCTAAATTCGTGTTTATTATTCCTTGACGACATTAACTTCAGTGACGTCTATGATGGTAATTATATGTAGAACCAGTAGTTCCATGACCAGTAGTTCCATAACCAGTGGTTCCGTAACCAGTAGCTCCATAACCAGTGGTTCCATAACCAGTAGTTGCAGAGCCAGTAGCTCCATAACCAGTTGTTCCATAACCAGTGGTTCCATAACCAGTAGTTGCAGAACCAGTAGCTCCGTAACCAGTAGTTGCAGAACTAGTGTTGTTATTATATGTAGACCCATGGGTTACATAACGAGCGTTGTCATAATATGGCTGACTCAATTGGCTAGATGTTGAGTTTGTATTACCAGTCAAATGAGTAGTGGCGCTTTGAGCTAGAAGATATAAATAAAACTAATTACAAATGTCTCACGTATCTTTGCTGTCGAAACAAGTATATTCTGTTTTTGGTGTTTGTAGACAGTTTTAATCGTATCTTATTAAAACAGATCGATTCGGTGAAAGTCAAGTTCAAACATTCCTCATGAATTTGATCGTATAATTATCCTAAAGTTATGATGTTAATTTTCAATATATTATAATTACATATTTTTGCTCAAAACTGGAATTAAGTATCTATTAAAGACTATGTTAGAATTAATGTAAAATCAACTTACGATTTATAGTACCAGTTATAGTTGGTTGACTTCCAGTATACGCCGGCATTGTTGGTGCTGAACTGCTTGAATAATGACGTTGTGACATCTTGTATGTGTGAAATAATATACCAAGTTAAAAAAATATAAATATCTACAAAAAAAAATACTAATTTTAAACTAATTGAATATTTTAGTTTTTATATATAGTTTTTGAGCATTTAATCGCTTGGAATGTGTCGTCTCTTATCATTACATAGTTCATAATCAAATACTGATAAACAAAAGCTCAATTAAATGTATTAGTTCACCTACTTTTCTTAGCAAAATAATCATGATTCGTAGAAGAACAAATTTTGTTTCACATATCAAATTACTATTTGATACTTAAATATGCAACTATTCAATATTCGAGATGTAATATATACAACACTATAATATGTGTAACTATAAGGGAAAAAACCAAAAAAACAAAACCGATGAAGCATTTTTGTAAAGGAAGTGACATCAACGTATGCGATAATATACCGTCATGTAATCATATATCGAAAACATGTGAAAAAATGCAATGACGTTATATAGTAACGCTTGATTGATCATCATTGATTATATAGAGAAACGTAAAAAAAATTATATGAAAATAAAAAGATTTTCAATAAGACTGTTGGACTAAACTATCGATTCAAATAATAGGCATTATCTTAGATGGTTCGAGAATAAATACATAACAAGAACATGCTTTATAGATAAGAAATATGCCTCATTCTATTTCATATAAAAACAGGCCACTTTCAACAGAATATTTCTTTCAGTGTAGTGCAACAACATGTGGAGATTATTTATACTTTTTTTACTATGCCTGTTCTCGAATAGCCTTGGAGAAACTTTGAACGTCAACGTTCGATTCTGCCAATTACATAATTTACCAGATACTCAATATTGGCAATACATCCGAGACGATCATACGATTCGCCCTGTGCATAAACAACTATGTCTTACGACTCATCCGAATCAATCATCGTTTATTTCACTCACTGAATGTGAGACTGGTTTAAATTTCTATCAAGTGTGGAGTTTGAATCCTCAAGATGGAAAAATAACTGCTCTCAACGAAAAGTGTCTCGGTGTATATCCTAAGACGTTTTTAACATACACTGTCGAGTTAAGACCATGTACTGATGAAAACAATCAACATTGGATTTGGAGAAATATAAGCGGTGGAATTCTAGAGATCAAACAGCCATGGAAACGATGTCTGACTGTGATGAATTAATAAACTATTTTGCATAAAATAACTGTATCATTTTCAATAAAATATCAGTTTTCTTCTTTTTGATTTACATCCATTCTTAATGGAAGATTAAATCATTAACATACTTTATCTCCTAACCGTTTACTAAAATTTTAAGTGAGTGACAAAGTTCTTCTTCAAAGTTTGTATTAATATCATCAATAAAAACATGAGTCACTTAAAAGAGAAATTATTTCAATCGTCTGCTATGAACTGTTCTTTTTCTTTTCTTTCTTTTTCCATTATATTTATTATTTAATCAAGAATGAAAGCGTTCATTCCCATGACAATTTTCAGCTTGATGATTAGAAATAAATAAAAAAATACACACACTATTCATCTAGAATTTAATTATCTACATTGTATATAACAGTTAAAATATGACCAAGGAAACAATCGATCATCTAGCAACTATTTTTCCAATAAATCGTGACGCATTGAAATCTACATCAAAACATCAACGAAGTGTTTCAATTCTTAAAGAATTCAGTTTAAATACATCAGCACATGGTATACCAAGTATTGTTCGTAGTCATAGTATTCAGAATCGTTTATTTTGGATTATATCATTATATTTTCAATATCCAACGCAAACATCTGTATCATTTGTTACTGAATGGCCTCAAGCTTTTCCAGCAGTTACTATTTGTAATTATTCTCCAATACGATATGATCGATTTATTATTCCTTTTTTAAATTATACAAATATGCTTAATTTAACAAATACAAATTCTTTTACAATGGAATTATCATTATATATTCATGGTTTTTTACTTTATAAAATAAATCGAAATGAATCTTTAAATGATTTTTCTTATTCACTTGATTCAATGATGATGTCTTGTGTTTACAATAGAATGACATGTACAACAGCTAATTTTACTTGGTTTTTATCACCAGTCTATGATCTTTGTTATACATTCAATGCTCTATTAAAAAATGTTGGTATCAATGGGTTAAAATATAATTCTGATAATGGAGTCAATGGTTTACTTGAATTACGTCTTTATGCACATCAATTCATATTCAACTTTGTGATTTTAAAAATCCATGTTATGCTGAAGCAGCAACAGAAATTATGAATACAAAAAGTATTTGTACTACTTATTGTCCTGATTGTACACAAGAATGTATATTTTCTGATTTTATAATTAAATGAACATCACTCTTAGCACCACCTGAATTCTTAATGAATGATATTCAATCTAGTTTTATTTCTTTAGAAGTTGCCTATGAAACAACACGAACAGAAATTTATTCACAACAAGCAACGATTACTGTAGTTGATGTTATTTCGAATATTGGCGGAAATACAGGACTCTGGATTCGGATTAATTTTCTTTCATTAATGGAAATTGTTGAAATGATCTATCGACTTGTACGTTCTCAATTTAAAAATAAGAGTAAAGAAAAAATCTACCATCGAAATTGATGCATTTATATAACAACACATGTCTAACGAAAGATAATGACCTAGGCTGTATTCTGTTTTATCAAAACAAAAAGAACAAAAAAAAAAGATAACATCTTTTTGTGAAGTTATTTTCTTTATACATTGTAATTTCATGAGACGATGATAGTTTCGATATTTTTTTACTTGTTATTCTTCATCGGATTTTCTGATGAATTGAACAATGGACTTGGTAGAACACCTCAAATGGGTAAGATATTTTGATTGAAATAGACGATTATACATAATTTCGATATTTTATTTATTATTGAAGGATGGAATAGTTGGTATGGTTTTCGCTGTAGTGTCAATGAAACTGTAGTTCGACAAACAGCAGATGCTCTCATAGCTACAGGTCTTGCTGCAGCTGGATATCAATATGGTTTGTTTTTTTTTTATTTCAAATTATTTTCTTAATATCTTTAATAGTGAATTTGGATGGTTGTTGGCAAGGAAGCCGAGACGCCGAAGGAATTATTCACTCTGATCCAGAAACTTTTCCAACTGGTATTCCAGCTCTTGTTGATTATGTTCATTCAAGAAAACTCAAGTTTGGTATCTATTCAGGTATATAAACTAAAATTTTCTTCTCTATCTATTTATCGAAATATTAGATAGAGGAAATATGACTTGTGATGGTAGACCTGGTTCACTGGGTTATGAAACAATAGATGCTAATACGTATGCTCTTTGGGGTGTAGACTATCTAAAACTTGATAGTTGTTTTACCAATGGAACTCCTCCTGCAGTAGAATATGCAATTATGCGTGATGCATTAAATGCTACCGGAAGACCTATTTTCTATTCTTTATGTGGTATGAATACAAACTATATTAATATTCTATCGTAAAGTATCTTACGTCTATTGTAACAAAAGGTGGTGTTACAAAATATGATCTTTGGTTACCTGATGTTGGAAATAGTTGGCGAACAGCAGACGACAGTCAAGATAATTGGCCTGCAATTATGGCTAATATTGACCAGGTCAGATTATACTGTAGATTTTTTATTGAACTAGATTTTCATTTCTTTCTAGAATAATGATTTTGCTCAACAAGCAGGACCAGGTGGTTGGAGTGATCCAGATAGTAAATAATTCTTTTTACTGTTTCTGATCGATTTCTATTAATTTATATTTAGTGCTTCAAATTGGTAATGGTGGTATGAGTGATATTGAATATAGGACACATTTTTCTCTTTGGTCTTTAACTAAAGCACCTCTAATTATTGGATGTGATATTCGAAATCTAAGCGCAACAAGTCTATCAATTTTGTCTAATTCAGAAGTTATTGCTGTTAATCAAGATCCATTAGGTATTCAAGGGAAAAAAGTAGCTTTTGCAGCATCACAATCATTAAATGCTTCAAGTGAAGTTATTGTTGCTAACTGTTCATTATCAAGCATTGATCCAAAACGTCGTCAATGGGTATATAATTCTCAAGATAGTAGCTTTCGATCAGTATTTAATGGACGATGTTTATCAATTGCTCAATGTAGTACAAGAAGAGAAACATATGCTGTATTGAATGATTGTCAAATTGGTGATCCACAAGCACAATGTCAAGGTAAAAATCAACAATGGACAGTTAATCCATCGAATCAGACTATTGTTTCACAAATGACTGGTTATTGGTAAGTTGAAAATAATATTTTCTGAAGTAAACAAAAAATTTAATTGACTAGTATGGAAGTACATAATTCGTATGGTCCAAATGTGTATGCACTTTTATATAATGGTCGACAAAATCAAAAATGGATATGGAATTCAACAGATGGAACAATAAAAAGTGAATCGAGTAATCAATGTTTAACAGTTCCATTAGAACTTGAAATATGGGCTGGTCCACTTTCAGACGGTTCACAAGCTGTAGTTTTATTCAATCGAGGTGATAGTAACAATGAACGTATTACTGTTAAATGGAGTGATATTGGTTTTCCTGTTAATAATTCAGCAACTGTTCGAGATTTATGGACGCATCAAAATCTTGGAATATTTACAGGCAATTATACATCACCAGATATAGTTTCTCATGGAGCTATGATGCTAAATATTATTCCAACGAAATAGAACAAAATATTTTTATGCTTCTTCTTCTATTCTAAGATTTTTAATATGTTCGAACAAATAAATTATTAACATTTTTTAGATGAATCAAAGACTTATCTCATTTGAATAATTACTTTTGGTCATTCATTAAATAGTTACGCATAGGGATTAGTTTTTTTAGTAAAAAAATTAGGCTACGTCACATACATGTAAACCTATTAAAATTCATATGATCCTCTGCGTTTTTGCCAATTATAAATTATAATTAAGGTAAAGTTTCTCTTATATGTAATTATTAGACATATATGCCAACTATATCCAAATTATTAATTATAGTTGAGTTCAAGTTTATATGTTGCTTTTGTAAATTGAGTACTTGTATGGTTTTGAAAAGTCTTATTTGTACTCGAATTCGTATTGCGACGCTACTCATTTTTGTTATACTTATTATGAACTCAAAATTCTTTCTAACAACTAATAAATTCATGAAAAAATTGAATATATATGATTACATTCTCTAGATAATGAAACTAAAGAACAACTGAATATTTTCTTGCACAACAAAAGAAGAAATCATAGAGGTCAGCACGATAATTATTTGCTTACTAATTTTAGATTAAACATTTTGTTTAAGTATCCGGCGAACGCCTGTTGATTTATTTATATAACTTTTTAGAAGCTCTTCTATAGCTTCATATTACAGTATCATCCATCTCTATATCTTTTCTTTCTCTTCTTTTGATGTTGTTCAAGGAAATGTCCTCATTATTTATGTTTTTTTTCTGATTCGGTCACTATATATGTTGTGACTGTTTGATACATATTTCTTGAAGTATCTGGAGTGACACTTCATAGGAGTATCGACAACCAATTTGAAAATAAATTGAAATTTCATATGGAAAAAACAAACGCCACAGAAGTTTCAAAAAAAAATAATAAAAAGATGTTCTCGTAAGGTAAAGTATATCGACGTTTGAGAACGAGCGTTGCAAGGTTTGTAGAAATCATCTATCTCAAAAACACATTTTTTACGTTACTAAGTGATTCGTTAATTCATTCATTTTATTTTATTTTAGCATTTATCTCATTTCATATCTCTCTGATTCCTATTGACGACAACATATATTTGTTCTATATTATGTCTTCTATTGCTGCTTCTCTCACTACTGTACAACAAGTTACTATTCGCTATGCATATCCTTTTATATTGGTACTGGGTAACATCGGTAATCTGGCTGTCATTGCTGTCTTTTCTCAAAAACATAATCGACGTAGTTCTTGTTCATTGTATCTGCTTGCTGCCGCCGTTTTCAGTATCATAGGCATCAATTGGGCACTCATCAGTAATACGTATGCTATCTATCAACCACCAGATCCATTCACCAAGTCGGTCGCACTTTGTCGTATTCGAGGTTTTATCTTACAAGTTACGTCGGTTCTCTACAAAACTATGGTTTTATTTGGATGTATCGATCGTTTTGCATTGAGTTCAAGTAAATCCACTGTTCGTGAATTCAGCAAACCGAAAATAGCATTGAAGATGATCGGAGGTGCTATTATTTTTTGGATGCTCATGTCAATGCATATGCTTTTCTTTCTGAGTACCGACAACAATCGATGTGGTGGTACTTATGGAGTGTATGGTCTCTTTTTTGGTATCTATGTAATCTGTGTTTTTGGATTGATTCTACCAATTCTTACACTTATTTTCGGCATTCTTATTCTGAAGAACTTGAAAACGGTTCGTTCTCGTGTTCACCCTATTGCAGGGACTAACAATGTGCCACAGCATGTTTTATCCAAGCGAGATGTGAAATTGGTCAAACTTGTCTTAGCTGAAGTTTTTGTCGGCTTCTTTCTTACCATTCTATTTCCAATCAATCAGCTATACACCGTATTAGCAAATTATGTGCCCAATAAGAGCCAAGATCGCATCCAAATCGAAGGTTTCATGTCTTTTATCTCACTCATTTTCTTATTCTATCTAAATTATTGCCTTACTTTCTACTTGTACGTCGCCGTATCCAAACCATTTCGTCAAGAAATCAAACGTGTCATCTTGAAGTGTTTCAATAAAACACAGCGTCAACAAACGAATACTGCTACGGGCCCAATATTACAGAAACAAAGAACCACAAACATCATAGTGTAGACATTTTTCACTATTCTATTTGATGTTGTAAAAGCTTTTGTCTATGATTAAATTGTGGGTGTATGAAATATTCATCAAAATCTTAATAATAACATTATGATCAGTCACTTCTTGATCATCATCAATGCTTGTTGTTCAATATCTAGAGATTTCTCTTGTCGAATAAAAATAAGACCATAAAGGGTGAAGACAAGAAGAAATAAATACAACATTTGATTGATAATAGTTTGTAAATATTGGCATTACTCGGATAAAATCTCACTAATATTGTTTAAACTTAGAGCAATATTAAAATGAAATTGATCATAAATACCGATTGTATTTAGTTTTCATGAAAAACTACTTATATTCATTTTTTTTTGGAATAATATGTAAAAATCAAATTGATTGAATGAACAAGTTCTATTTGAGATTGTATTTCATTAACGTATCAACTGGATATAATTTTAAAAAAATTCTTTTTTCATTGATTCTTGAGGGTATGGGTGTGAGTGTATCTTTCTTAAGGAGACTCAAGACTATTTTCTGTATGAGCAATGTATACAAAATGAAGTGTTTAATTGAATTTATTTATTAGTGATAAATGATATATAATGAAAAGCAATTGTAAAGGAGATAAAATTTGCAAACTAATTACTTGATGGCTAATAGTTGGTACTTCTCATCAGTTTCCACTACTGCTAAGCGTGCGAAGGGTGAACGTGACTGTGGGTGTAGATACCAATGTGACTCTTCATACCCACATCTAATCACGTCCTCACTCATGTCCCAGACTACTCTTCGTCAAAACATAGGATCAGTTTGCTGTACATTGATTCATGCAAAAAAAACAGTACAAGAAGCTGAAAGCAAAAGCATGAATGAGTTTGAGTAAAAGATTGATAATGGAAAAGTTTTGGTATCGAATGAACATCGTCATTCATTCCATATTGTCAAGTAGTTAATCGTAGAATAATGTTCTCTGCTAGAGTGCCAAAATGTCAATAAGGGTGTTGAGTATGATGAAGAAATAAATTTTAACATTGTAAAAGAACACTGATGGTGTGCGAACCAGAATTTGCAATGATTATATCAGGTTTATTATCACTGTTCACATCGGCTACTGCTACGGAAAGTGGAGCAGCACCAACTGTGTAAGTAGTTTGAGGGAAAAAAGTGCCGTTGCCTTTGTTGAGAAGAACAGTGATGGTATTTGCATTCATATTTGCAGTGACAATATCGGGTTCATTGTCACTATTTACATTAGCTACTGCTACTGCATATGGATATGCACCAACTGAGTAAGTAACTTGAAGAGGAAAAGTGCCGTTGCCTGTGTTGAGAAGAACACTGACGGTGTTTGAAGCCGAACTTGCACTGACAATATCGGGTTTGTTGTCGTTGTTTAGGTCGCCTACTGTTACGGACATTGGAGCTACACCAACTACGTAACCAGTTAAAGAAAAAGTGCCATTGCCTTTGTTGAGAAGAACACTGACGATATTTGAAGCCCCATGTGCCGTAACAATATCGGGTTTGTTGTCGCCGTTCACATCGGCTACAGCTACTGCATACGTTGCAGAACCAACTACATAATTAGTTTGAGTAGAAAAAGTGCCGTTGCCGATGTTGAGAAGAACACTGATGAAGACTGCACCTTGATTTGCAACGACGATATCAGGTTGATTGTCGCTGTTCAGATCGACCACTGTTCCTGACCGTCGCATGTTACCAACTGGGTAATTAGTTTGAGGAGAAAAAGTGCCATTGTTTATGTTGAGAAGAACACTGACGGTGTTTGAATTCCAATCTGCAGTGACAATATCGGATTTATTGTCGCTATTTACATCAACTACTGCTACTGACGATGGAAATTTACCAACTGAGTAAGAAACTTGAGGAAAAAAAGTACCGTTGCCGATGTTAAGAAGAACACCGGTAGTGTTTGACTTATGGTTTGCGACGACAATATCGGGTTTGTTATCGCCGTTCACATCGACTAAAGCTACTGCATTTGGCATTAAACCAACTGAGTAAGTAGTTTGATTACGAAATGTACTATTACAAGCTGTTAAACAAGAAAAAAAATTGGATTATAGTTTTTATCATTAAAACAGTATATTATCGTCCTATTCTATTTAATCTGCAACAGTTCAGCTCAAATCTTGAGGGTGTGGGTATGGGTATAGGTATCACACACACAATACACCTACGCCCTCATTTTAAGCAAATAACAAACGGGAATTTCCTAGAATATAGTTTCTCAAACTAAAGAAGAATTGATCGATTGGCAACTAAAAAGGGTACTATGATTTGTGTGGTATATTACTGACCGATTGATGTTGTTGTTGTTGTTGTTGTTGTTGACGATGTTATTGTTGTTGTTGACGATGATGTTGTTGATGATGACGACGTTGTTGATGAAGTTGCTGAGGATGCTGTTGTTGTTATTGTAGTTGTTGACGTTATTGGTGAAGTCATTGAGGATGTTGCTGTTGTTGTTGATGGCTTTGTTATCAATGTTGTAGACGATGATGATGATGATGATGATAATGTTGTTGTCGACATTTCTGTTTTTTTTATTGCTGTCGTTTGTGTTATAGGTTCTTTTGTTGTTGTTGTTGTTGACGATTCAATTTCACTCTTCTCTCCATTTGGCATAGTCACATTATGAAATGATGCCTGTTTTCTTTGATCTTCTGTTAATTTAACATTCGATAAATCACTGTTTAAAAACTTTGCACCTGTCAGATCTGAGTTTCTAAAATCTACTCCTGACAGATTTACACCATTAAAACTAGCGCAAAGTAAAGATGAACCATCAAATTTCACGCTATCCAATCGCCCTCCATCAAATGACACACCATTTAAACTAACAGATGAAAACTCAGCATTTGTCATTGATACATGATCAAATGAAACACATTGTAAATTCAACTTATTTAATACACCTGTTTGACTTGCTAGATGCACATTATCAAAATTTAATTCATTCAAACGAATTATATCATCTAAATTTGTTGTTTTACATCCATTTGTACAATTATTTCTACCAATTAATTGTTGTTCTTTCAGAAATTGTAAAACATCTCCTTTACGTACTGTATCCCATTGACGATGAGCAGCACGATAATATGCATTGGCAAATGCCCACGGATTTTTTGTGTCATTGAGATAACCATCTTTATCCAATTTATAGATATTATTTAAGAACTCATCATAAAGTGCTCGTTGTCTTAATTTTTCAGCTTGTTCCAGATCAAACTGTCTTGTTTTTTCAGCTTCTTTTTTTTGTTGCTGATGCCCAATTGAAGTATAGATAGCCAGAGCTATGGGTATAGCAGCTGAACATAAAATAGTTAATAAGTCTTTAAGTGTAAAATGCCAAAAAATTCGTTTGGTAATATCGACCATTGTCTCAGTCTGATTTCAAAATGAACAATAGAATATTGTGATGTACTCGGATATACAGAAAACACAAATGCTATACTAATAACTAATCTTTCTGTCTTTTACCGTTTCTTTGTTATTTAACAAACATATTAAGTAACAGTTTTAATTATATGTTCAAAATTGATTATTACAAAAAAAAATAAAAGAAATGAATAAGTAAATATTCATTACAGGTATAACAATAATTATAACAAAAGTTTCCTGTTACTTTTAGTATACTGAACGTTGAATTTGATATAGGATAACAAAAATGTGTAAATACCGGTAAATGAAGATGCCTAGAGACGATAAAAGAAGAAAACTGATACTATTGATTTAAATATCGGAGATTTCTTCGTATATCTGCATACAATACAAAATCAAAGAAAATTAATTATTTCTCCGAAATAATGAAAAATATATTTTGATAGTGAACTGTGAAATGATCTGGTCATATCCATTACAAAGTTTTACAAGAAAAAAGGAAAAGAGTACTCTAGATTTGATGAATCATCTCTTTTCTTTCAGACTATTAACATAAAAATCCTCAGTATGCATAAGTTAGTCTAAAAATGTAGCAGAAACAGTTTTATAACTGACTCAAATTATTTAAATTTATAATTTATTAAAATTAAGAGTATAACTAAAAGCAATAGGTTGTTTGTAATGTGTGATGACAAACTATGGAAATATTTTATATGTTTACTTCTCTAATTTTTCAATGTATTCATTAAAAAATGTAACTTTATTACAAATAACAGTGATGGTATACATTTATCTTTGTATTCTCTGCCGCATATCACTTTCTTTTGTGAACAAATATAAAATGAAAAAAAAGACTAAATTATCGATTGGATCAATCTTTTATATCTATGTATTCATATGAAAGAAGCAATATGTCGACAGTGTTCTTAAATTAATAAACCAGACAGCAATGTTTAATGGGTTTCTTTAAATTTACTATTTTATCTTATTTCTTTTGGTTAAGAGTTATTCTCTCTCTGTCTCTGAACAACATGTCAATTACAAGTAAAGAAATGGAAATATGATCTGAAAAACATAACATTTCTTATTACATTTTATTCCACAATGAGACAGAGCTTAAGGGTAAATATTATCTACGTACATAATTATATATCGTAGGTATTTACCACTCCCATAATTCAATTACTACATTAATTTGAAACAAAAAAAAACATCTTATCAATAATATGTTAGATTTTGATTTAAGGTAAATAATATAATATTAATAAATGAATAAATCTACTAGCATCATGTATAAGCAAACAACGAGATTCAGGCAAATTCTTAGACGATTATTTTTTTGATATTTTTACAATATATGTTGAAAATACACTATCACTTCGGACATAAACTAATTATTTGTTCAATTTTACGCTGAATGATACTTGAAAAACTATCAAATTAAATTAGTAGAAAAATATTTTTAAATCGAATCAAAGATAAACACGATATAGTAGAATTTTGAATGTACATGTGGTTTTAGATATAAATATTGCACTCACCACAAACTATAAGCCATATTCCCTCACTCATCCACTCATCAATTTACACCCACACCCACTCTACTCCTTAAAAGTAATCATGTGATTCCAACATAGTTAACTTTTTTGCTTATTGATAAAAACCTTTTCCATTTTTAGTCATAAAATATGAATGAAAGCCAACACTTTATTTACAAAAAGCACGACTATGAATTTCAGTATAGGAGGTACAATATAATAGTTCTATTACGATAAGATCTTTAGTTTAGTTTTTTATATAAATTTATAAAATGAAATTAAGCCTGTAAAGATTATCAATTTATTTGAAATGAAAATGAATGAACAGAAAAAGAAAGTCGAATAAATAAGCATACAAAGCTCAAAGCAGATAAAGATGAATCAAGAATATATATATAACTTAAGAGAATAAATGAAAGTAGAAGATGTATCATAGCTGAAGGTCATGACAGTGCCAAAGTTCAGTATCCGAATAGCTTTAATTCTGAATACTGAACACTATTCTCGATATCACGCTTGCTCGAAACAAGAAACCGATAACTTTTATACTGGATCGAATTGTTGATCAGTTGCATAATTCCACAGGTGAGTCTACCAGGATCTGTTTCAAGACCACT